ACTACTTGGGAGTTGTTTCTGTCATGGAAGCTCTTTTAGCACAACTTCTATACCATCCTCATGTACATATCTTCCACGACTAGGACTCATGCCATATAGGATATGAATTGCCAGTCACCTCTTCTCCACTTTCACCTTTTCCAGGCAAGCCAAAACTACTTAATGAAGCTCAAGGCCTTGTGAATATTTCAACCTGGGTCTCCCTAGACATAACGCAATGCCCTTATTAGTAATGCCTTACTGAATTTGAATCATCATCTTTCATCTTTATCTCAAAGTAGTGTTGGGAGGATGGAATTCAGTTTCAGGCAGACTAGGTATGTTGCCATGATCTCCTGGAGGAAAAACAAGGTATAAACATAAATGAATTCATAAATATTTGGTTACAGTCAAATGTTTGTTAAGGGGATTCTTTAATTGATATATGTAAGTCATTATTTAGAGTGCAGATCTATTTGGAAATAAGTCATTTTAATTAAACATGAGAAGAGCGCAAGCCTTCTGGAGACACATCAAATGGTATTTTATGATATTGAGTATTTTGAGAAACTGAAAGGGCCAGGGCTGGGAAAGATTAAGGAGTTAATAGTGGAGACATTTCATGCTCATTTTAATTGATTTGTGCTTGTAACATAATCAAATCTTTATTGATTATTTGTGCAAATTCATTAAACTCAATTTACTGTTAGTAAATTTTTTCCGGGATGACATTGCATTTCCCTGTCTCTCAATCTCTCAGCTTTTCTGTGTTTTGAGCACCAATTTAGCCCGATGAATGGGAAGGACATCATAAAATAACACACTAAAATAATAAATAATGGAAAGCTTGTCCTTCACCTCCAAGCCCAAGCCTTAAAAGAGGGGCTCCCTGGCAGGCGAGAACAGCAGGAGTCAGCTAATGAGGCAAGTGATCCATTATCATTGCACTGCTTAGCTTGATTTAGTTATCTGAATCAGAATGACAGATTTAGGAGGAAATCTCCTCCTGGGAACTCGGTTGAAAATGTTATGTTGATGTGGCCATGCATTGATCTGTCAGTAAGTGCCTCTTGGTTACCATGCCAACAATGAAAAGGAACAACTGTATCCAAAACGCACCTAGGGGTTAAAGGGCACACTTTCAGGAAACTCCTGTGGGGGTGGTCATAGATTTTATTATCAACAAGTTTAGTTAATCATCATAATAAGCCATAGGACCCATAAACACACAGAGATAGGCTCAGAATTCATTGACATACAAAAGATTTCAAACGATGTTTTTTCCTTTTCTCCTCAGAAAAAAAACTTTTATATTTTCCCTCTAGGGTTATTGAAAGCATTACATTAACACCTGCAGTTCCAACCTGTACTACAGGTAGCTTATTAATTTTATTTCTACAGGAAAATAAATCAAAATGTAACTGTTTAAAATGGGATTTTACATTCACTTTTTAAAAATAACACCAAACAAGGAAAGTGATGGAAGGAGTCTAAGGATATGGATTGATGACTGTATGCTGAACTGTAACTGTCAATCAATTCTATCTAGTAATTTTTTTAATTTCTTTTCAGAAATGGAATCCCATTCATGCAAAATGAAATTGGGGTCAAGGATTTTTAACTTTTTGCACTTACTACATCTGGTCTAAATCAATCTGCATTTACAGAAAAGAGGACAGTAGCCAAATTATAATGAAAATTCCATATTGAATTGAATTGAAATTTATTTGACCAAGTGTGATTCGACACACAAGGAATTTGTTTCCAGTACACAAGGAATTTGTTTCCAACTGATAGTGTCATTTTTAAATTTGTCCCCCCAATTTTTTCCCATTTATCTAATTCAATATTGTAGCCAAAGTTCTGTGCCCATTTTACCATTTGTTCTTTCACAATTTCTTCTTCCATTTTATACTTCAGAAGAAATTTATGTATTCTCCCTATCATCTTTCTTTCTGAGCTTTGGATTGTTTTATCTAATTTGTGTGGTTCCATTTGGATGCCGTATAATTTAGTATCGTTATTGTGTTTAGTTTTGATTTGCA